TCGATTCGCGTGGAATGGACGGTGCATGTGGTTTAGGAAAGGTAGGCACAAATTCCTCGCTTTTTGGACAATTTTTATGTTTTTTTTTATTTTTTTGGCCATTTTGATCCCGATGAATAGGCCTATTGGACTCTCACTGCTTGTTTATGTGATCAATGAAGTTTCCTGACCTGTTAACTAGTGTCTCCCAGTTTATTTGTGCAATCAATGGAGCTCCCCTTAGGCATTGTTTCGGCCACCCTCAGAGTCTCTCTGCTTGTTTATGTGATCAACGGAGCTCCCCTTTGGTGTTATTGTTCCCACCTCCGAGTCTCTTTTCCTTTTTTTGTATCATGGAGTTCCCCCAGCCTGTTAATTGGAGTCTCCTAGTATGTTTGTGTGATAAATAGAACTCCCCTTTGGTAGTGTTGTTGCCCTCCTGAGAGTCTCCCTTTTGTTTGTTCGTTAATGTCATGTTGCACTTTCCAGAGGGAATTTCCTATGACGTCGTGTGTTATGGGGGAAATTTTCTGCATTGTCATCGTGCTTATTGAAGGGATTTTTTCGCGTCGTTGTCTCATTTTATTAATGCAATTTTATGTGTTGTTGTTGTGCTTTTCAGATGCGAGGCGACTTTGTGTGTTACTATGTTGTAGAAGAAGATATTCCACGTTGTCATCCTTTTCCATTGGAGATTTTTTTTTTGTTTTCACGTTATTCGGAGACAATTTCTCATGTTGTCACGTTTTTCAAAGGAAATTTTTCACACTAATGTCGCTGTTTTTGTAAAATATTTTCCGCATTGCATTGCACTTTCTTGAGATGCTATTTCGCGTTACTGTTGGGCTTTTCGAAGATTTAGCACGTTACCGTCAAGCTTTTTGGAAGAGAATTTCTACGCTACTATCACGCTTTTTAGAGGAGAATTTCTGCATTGTTGCACTTTCCATAAGAGTTTTTTTGCATTGTTGTGGCGCTTTAAGGATGAGAATTTTCGCTCCCCTGTTGCGCTTTATAGAAAAGATTTTTCTCGTTGTTTTCGTGCTTTCCCGAGGAGAATTTCAGTGTTATCGCTTTTCGAAGGAAATTTTTTATGTTTTTGTCCTACTTTCTAGAGAGCATAAAAAAACTTCGAACGACTAGACCCTAATTGGAGTATTGCCCCCTAGTAGGAGCTTATTAAAGTTGAGCTTTTCTATGGTTCACACATTTTAAGATTCTCAGGCTTCACGAGTATATAAAACATTGTCTTATAGTCACTTGAGATTTTTTGACGTATCTGTTTTTTTTTTTAGGCCCATAGCCTTCTAAGACTTTTAATATACCTGCACTTCTGAAGCTCTTAACATTCTAAGATTTTCAATATGTATGCATCTTTTGAGGTTTGCAGCCTTCTGAAGTTTTAAATGTGTATGCATCTTTTAAGGCTCATAGCCTTCTGAAGTTCTTAATGTATCTACATCTTATGAGGCTCGTAGTCTTCTGATGTTTTTAATGTGCTTATACCTTCTGAAGCTCGTATCCTTCAGAAATTTTTAATTGGAGATCTTCTGATGTTTTTAAAGTCTTTCTAGTGAGAACCTTCTCCACGACGAGCTTTTTATTAAGACTTGTCGCATGGGCTCGTCTTCCGAGAGTATGGGTGAAGATTTTGTCTATCACTTTGTTGACCTCACTTTTGGTTGAGGTCTA